TGTGTGTGTGTGTGTGTGTGTGTGTGTGTGTGTGTGTGTGTGTACACATGTTTAAATGTTTAATATTGTACTTTCAGGTGGTTCACTGAATTTTGGGGTTAGCACATTGGAGGAGATCCGTCTCAGGAAGGCTTTAAAGGCCAGTATGAAAAAAGCTGGTTACCCCATCCAGAGTGCTGAAACGTCTGCCACCAGAGAGAAGGAAAACATCGGCTTATTTTATCGAACAACATTCTCAGAGTCCACAGGTGAGACAAAAACAATGTGTGGAGTGGTAGTCCTCAGTCCTGGTCCTTGAGAGCCATTATCCTGCATGTTTTAGATGTTTCTTCAAGACCTGCAGAAGCCTGTTAATACCTCACTTAGTCCAATCAGGTGTGTTGAAGCAGAGAAACACCTAAAATATGCAGGGCAGTGGCTCTCAACAACCAGGACTGAGGACCACTGGTGTAGAGTGATGGTCAGGGTACCAGCATGCCCCACCAGACTGATGAATCAGTATAGAAGATTAATTTAGGTGCAATGTTAGTAAAGCGATTGTAACATGTACGGAGATTTGATGTACAAGAGTTCTGTCGTTACTCAGATTTTATACTGATTTGGGCTTTAAAATTAACCGTTTACACAACAGTCTGTAATAATCTATAACAATGTTATTAATGTTTTTATTGTCAGGATGCTAAATGATCACCCAAGATACAACTTTAAAATCTAAAACACAGAGTAGCTGAATAAATACTTGTTGTATTCAGATAGTTTTGGACTCAGCTCAGAGCTCTTCTGGTCAAATCAGTTCTGTTTATGTTGATTTAAGCACAATGAGCTCATGTTGAAAACATAAGTCTCTTAAACAAGACAGTTCTGTGAAATCTCCACACACACTGGTCCAGCTTTATTTCCCCTCAGCTCATTSATAAATCACAGGAGAAGCTGGTCAGGTCCCACTCACATGAAGGCCCAGCAGCACAGAACCAAAAGAGGAGTGGAGCAGACCTCAGCTCAGCTGAAGTGGACCGTGACTTATTTATTGTGTGACGAGCGTCTGCCTCTTATCAAACACAATAACTCATTTCAGAGATCCTGTGGTTCAATACTTTTTAACCTAACGACCAAGTTTCTGCTCTGCCTCATCTTTAATATTCTCTCATATAAATCCACAGTTTGTTTCATCCTCTCGGGCCAAAAACATAAAAACTCTCCAGTTTTTTCTGACTGAGTCTCAAAGTTATTTGTTGAGCAGCAAAAAGGCTCAGGATGAAGGAATTAAAAAGTAAAAGACGTGAGCAGCAGGTCAGCCTCAGCAGAGGAGGGGTGGGGGGCTGCTTCAGAACCACTTATACTGGGTCGAAGTCAGACTGAACCAACAAGAATGAAGCAAAAAGTAAAGAATTAGAGACAAATTATTAATGTTGAATGTAAATAAATTATAATTATAATAAATTAATAATAGTTTTACATCTAAAAATCATATTTTATTCTTTTAATCT